AAAAAAAAAAATACAAATGCCAGGGTGCTTACAAACATTTTCTGGGTTTCAGTGTGATTATGATTAAGTAGACCCATGATTTGTAGTTACATTAGTAACTGTTATATTTCAATAACATCACTTCCTAGAATGTTTTCTTGCTGCCACTTTTTTAAGCTGAAATACAGAGTTGAATGATAGATCATACTGTATGTTGCTTTCCCCTCAAAGAAGTTAGATCCCCTTATGCTGCCATTGTTTGATCATTTATCAGGCACAGGCTCTGCCACTTATAACAGAAAATACCAATTACTATGTATTTCCCCTCACTGTACCACGCATTAGCGCTTCCATTGTACTGAATACTTCTCTTGGGTGCCGTGTTGTAGGAGCGCAGTGTTTTAAGATGATAGAAATTGTTATATATTGATTTGCAGAAAACACAGTTTCATCCCCTGTGTCAAATTCCTATTTTAAAGAAAGCATCAGTATGGGTTCATTTGAGCAATCTGGTAAATTTTGATGCAAATTTTAGTACTTTGTGCATACATTTATTATGGAAGTAAATTTAACTAAAAAAGAAAAGAGCTAAAACAAAAAAGAAAAAGAAAATCAAAGCAAAGACGATTCAAAATCTACAAGAATATAACGCAGCCAGGTTCTTGGCTCTATGATGTTTTTGTCTTCCAGATTTGAGAGTCAGTGTGTGACAAGTTTCCCTGATATCGGGCTACTTTTTTGTTTCTTACCTGCTCACTAAAAGTGTTAACTTTAACAAAAAGATTTCTGTTCATGTCCAAAGCTTTCTGCACATTCATGCATGCCTCAACTATGTTATTGAGCCTGACTGAAAACAGACCCAGGCAACAGCACATCTAAAGTTAAAAAAAAGAATCCAAAACTGGCTTCCAGCTATATTGTTTTTCAGACATTTTTGGGAAACGATTTCCTTTTTCTTTCTCTCTCCTCCATTCCTATCAGGCTGCTTGCATACACACAGCCAGAGGAAAACATGAGAGGATGTGCAGCTTTTTTGTTGACATCAAAACACTGTATGTGCGCGTTTTTGTGTTGCAGGCTTAATTATATTTACCACAAAACATTCTGTGGTTGTATGAACTCATAATTCATATTCATATCTTTGGGAGGGAAAAAGACCTATTGTTGAAGAAAACAACTCATCTGTGTGTGAGGCATTGTTATTGTGCATAGTGTTTGTTTTTTTCTTAGTAACTCCCCTGCTTCTTTCATGCTTTTATTGGAGGGGGACAATGTATTCTAAATATTAAGACATTTCTCCTATAGAGATATAAAATAGATACAGAATTGATATAGAGATATAGGTCTCTGGGTCAGCTGTACAAATAGGGTGGCACCTAAGGCAGGAGACCTGGCAGGACACACCCTACAGGGACACAATCAAGGGAGGCCCTGCTAAGGGCCATAACAGTCCCTTAGCAGTGTTGGACCTCGACCAGATGGTTTGGTAGCCACTAACAAGCTCCTGGAATAATTCTGGCTGGATATTTGAGCATTCTCCTTGGCAGAATTGATAGCATTCACAAATCTTCAGTAGGGTTGTAGTCTTCCAAAGCTTAATGTTAGCCTGCTTTATCGATTCCAAAACCAGTTTAGATTTGTGTTTGTGATAATTTGTCCTGTTGGAACACTCAGCTGTGTCGACCACCAAGGACTCAATCTTTGTCTTGTCTGACTTTTCTCCAGAAGGCATTTGACTCTTCCATGTGGACTAACTTAAAAGAGCTGATTTTGGAGCAGTGGCTCTTTTCTTGGTACCCTCGCGGACCCTGGTGACGTAAACCTCACTTCACTGTGGACAGTGACACCAGTGTTCAAGCAGCTCCCAGTTCATTTTAGTCTTGAATGCTGGAGGATGCTGGGTTGTTGTTAAACATCCTAACCAATTTCCTCTCATCTGAAGCTGACAGTTTGGGGTTTCTTCCAGATTTTGATAAAGTGGTGACACATTTGAATAACATTCAACTTTTTCTGCACTTGTTTAGAAATGGCCCATTAATCTTCTGGATTTAACTTCCCAAAGCCCCGACTTTAACCTTATTGAAAATTTGTGGACTATGTTTAATAGCCATCTATGTGCCAGAAACCAATTAATTTGAATTAACTGTACCATTTTCTGCCAAGAAGAGTCAAATATCCAGCCAGGATTCTGCTATAAGCTTGGCTAACAAAAGTTTCTAAGGCACATTTAAATATAGTGCCAAATATTAGTGAAGGTATATGTAAATATTTGAACCTGTATGTATACTTTTGAACTTGTGTGGATTAGAGAAAACTGTATGCAGTATGTATAATGTACAAACATCCCACTCTGGAAAAAGAACAGTTGAAAGAAATCATGAAAAGCCCAAAATTATAATGACATTCATCCATGAATGGTTTATGTAAACTTCTGACCCCAGCTGTGTAGAATGTATGCCAGCATGAACTAGCAAATAAAAAGGACTTTTGCCTCTTCTGTTGTGTCCTTTTGGCTCCCAGCTGTCTGCAGACTGAGGGGATCTTATTTTATTTTGTAATGTAAACAGCAAACAATGCATCACATTGTTCTACATGTCATATTCTGGATAACGTACAATATGTTATGTACAGTTTATTTTGCGTGCACAAAAGGAGAATCCATGACCACGTCTGCTATTCAAACTCCAACACCAGCATAGCACCAACACAATAATAACTGCTGTGTTTCCCTGCATTCAGTTTGTCTCTGTGTGAGTGTCTGTGAGCCTTTAGTACAGGGAAGGCCTCCAGGCGTCAGTGGACTTCTGATAAGACCCGGTTAAAGCAGCTGTTTTGTTGGCCTCCACTCTGCCATCTCGCTGCCATAAAAGCAAGAATTCAACTTATTACACATATAAAGTCTCTTGGATCACCAGCGCACTTTTGAGAATTTATAACTATAAATAAAGCAAAAAGGCATGTAGGAGTCATCCCTACATAAATCTGTATTTCACAGAGACCCTCTTCTCTCCTCTTGTGAACCCAGTAAACCTTTTAAAGTGGTCTTAATGCATATGCTCTTTCATAAAGTGAAATCACCAAGATAGCTTAAACCTCTAGAAGATGAGGAAAACTGTAACAAGCACTATTTATTAAGCACCAAGTAGGGAGCAGCTTTTCAAGCGTCCCTCGTTGTAAACAGTTTAACACTTCTCAACTAATGCACTAACATAAGCACCTCCATACATTTACTGACATAAATTACCCCAGTGGTCCTTATCAGTTTTACTCTCATGTGCTCTTCAATTTTTCTAATGCATCCAAAAAGTCTGCATTAAAAAAGGAGGGTAAAGATGCTTCGAGAGGCTGCTGTAAAACAGGCAACTGATTGTGTCTGATTGTGTTTTTAAGCTAGCTGGAGTAATTGCAATGTTAAGAACATATGTAATTATTCTACGTTCAGGTCATGACCTCAGCAAGTGCTGTGCTTGTATCAGTGTGACTAGTTTAGAGCACTACAATTAAAGAATTAAAGTGTGATTCTGAATTATTAACTGCATACCCCCAGAGGCAAAAAAAAAATAAAAAAATGGGAGTGCACTATGTAGCGAATGACAATGATTCGCATTAGTATTAATGTATTTGCAGAATCAAATAATGCTAAATGCACTGCCTAAATTGTTACACTGCACTTCATTAAGCACATCGTCAACTGAGCATTAGATCAGGGCCTATTAAGCCAGCGTTTGATTGGCAAGTGGTGAAATTACAAGCTCGTACTGCATTCACATGTCTGCATAATTGCGAGGCGTGCACCTCACAAACTTGTGTCCTTGCTTATGCTGAAAGTGGATGTAATTACTTATCAAGCTATGGCATCACAACAGTCAATGCTAATCTTGACAAGAGGTGATTATGTCTGGTTAAGCTATTCACGGCTCCGTATCATCCTCAAAATGGTAAAAATAAGTATAATTTTTTTTTCTATTATATATAGAGAATGCTTCCAAAAATATCCTTTGGTTTAATTTCATGTCTAACATTTAATGGAACATGTTAAATGGAATTGTATAATGCAAACAACAGGCTCTCCACCTAAATCATAATTAGGTACAAAAAGTATCCACTGGAGATCTCATGGTCCACTGCAAATCTGCTAGGCATGGAAATGCTATGGGAGCTAATGGTGTAAATGAGTGGATACCTGCTGTAGATAAATGAGCTTGTTTGAAGAGTAATGGTACTGAAGTGATCCTCAGAGGGAAAGCGTCTTTCTGCATGGTTTCACCTCAAGGAAGGAAAGTTTTCTAGACCTATTTAAAACTTGAAGTTTGGGTTGTTTTTATTATATTTTTTTCTCTGTTTGTGTCCAAAACCTGTTCTGATATTCAAGACGCGTAATAGCCTTCATGGATATTCAGATACACAACTCGATTCTTTTCTTCTGTTGAATATTTTTGTTTTTTTTATTCTCTAAAAATAAAAACAAAAATAAACTTATTCCACGGTGTTCCTCGGTCCTCGTTCGGTTGTGTCTCACCGAAAGGGACCTCAGGTGGTGCTGTTGTCCTGACAACCAATAAGGGGAGCATCGGAGTCAGACGGCTGGATAATCTGAGAGAGAGAGAGAGAGAGAGAGAGAGAGAGAGGTAGGGGTGGTGGTGGGGGGTGATTCTCCCAGACTCTAAACAGAAGCTTGCCTCTCTCCATCGTCGCTGTGCCGTGTCTTTACGCGGAGAGCTTTGTGCGTCACTGGAGTACAGAAGGAGGATTTTGGCCCCCCCTCCCCCTCCAAAAAAGTATTTTCGGAACCTCGTGTCACCCATTCATTCCGAACTGCTTTGGACCTAAAAACATTCCCGCGTTTACCAGAAGTGTGGACAACTACGACTGTTTCCCCCTACCCCCTTTTTCACCCTTGGATTTATAACTGCAGAAACGCGCGCGCGCTCCTGTGCTTTAAAAAATGCAAGTCGGACGCAAGTCGTGCTGGAGGCAGTTACAGGCTTCGTTTTTCAGACTGCTTTGTCTTATCCCCACAGGATTCCCCGTCCGGAGTGTGGATATGCAGAGGGCCACCGACAACATCACTATCCGACAGGGCGACACGGCGATTATAAGGTAAGACTCTGCTTCCAACTTTCCTCTGCTGCTTCCCCACACCCCCGCCTCTCTCTGGATGCTGAGCAGCAGCAGCAGGATCCTCCGAGCGAAAGATTGCAGCTTGTTTTATGCATTCATTTATTTTTGTTGTTGTCGTTTCTTTACGAACTTTTTTTCTCGTTTGTTCAGTACAGAGAAGTGACGGAAATGTTGAGCGATTGCATGTTCTCCGCTTGCGTTTCTAACTTTTGTGTCACAACCTTTGTGAGAATCTTTGTGACACAGGACGCTGCGGCGGTGGTCACACCGCTTTATGAACTTAAGATCAAGATGCTCTTGATAAAAGGCAAAGTGCGTCACCGTGACCGTGGCAATCATGGTGGTGGGAGGGTTAACGACAAAGACTGATTACTGATTGCAGACAGGAATAACATGTTGAAAAAAACGACGTGTGACGAATCCTCCATTAGATGTTAGGAAAAGATTAACTGCCAGCAGTCTGCAGGGGGGCAAGAAGATGAAGTAGCAGCAGTGCAGCTGAGAGCTCGTTTGAGGGTTTTTTGCTTTTGCAGCTTTGTTTGTGGCCCCGCAAATTTAAAGATTCTCTCTTTACGCGGGTTTTTTGCTTTTTACATTTTTATTTATTTATTTATTCAGCACATATGTTAAGACATCCCATGTAATCACTTCGTAAACAATGGAAGCTGACAACTGTCTTATTGTGATACTGCTCGGCACGTCTGGGTAAACACGTGATGACAGCCATGCGTTTTTGACAGGCTATGAATGCAGAAAGAGGATTTGGATTGTTTTGTTTATTTATTTGTTTATTCATATGTTTTGTGCACAGGGCTTTTCCTCAGCAGCCCCTCTCACCCACTCTCCCCAATCCTTTAAATGTACTCCAAATCAATTAGTTCACCACATAGTGACTGTGGCAATGGCAATTTTCTTTATATTTCATGTGTTCATTACATGCAAATTCAAAATGCTTAACACATATGATAAAAAACATGACAACCTGTGTAGGTTTACAGTGCCTCTAGGCTGTGAGAGAACAAACTGCGGTTATATGCTGGACTTTTAGCACAGCCGGTCAACAAAGCCTGCAGGCATGGACACCGCTTCCCCAGCCCCATATAAGAGAAAAAAAAATGCAAGCACACACATTTCCGCATTTCCTCACATGTGCCCTGAGCTTGCATACACACAAAAGCTGTATGCCCAAACACACACACACACACCAAGAATAAATCCCTTTAATGGATTCCTTCTGGTGCACAGGTGCCATCCATTTAGGTATCTGCTGATCAAGTTAGTCATCTGACTCAGTTACTGTTGAACTCAGCGGGGGTCACAGCTATTTGTTTCACTTTCCACATCCAGTTGACTGCCTCGTTGCTGTAATCAGCCATTTGCCCCCACCCTAGTCACTCTCTATTCTTTAAAGGTGAGGTAACGTGGCAGGCTCTGCGCTCACCTGCCGAATTAGATTCCACTTTCTGGGAAAACTGTATCCCCAGTCCACTATTTCACCTTTATATCTGCCAAACGATGTTTGAATAATCTGTGGTAATCGCTCAGTGAGTGTCATAATTAATTTGATGTTTGCAATGCATCTTGTTGGGACTGATGATCAGTCTTATTTATCGTAAGGTAGACAGCGATAAGCTCTGGCTCAGAGCCCCGTGGCTCTGCTGAAAAACACAACCATTTTTCACACCCAGTTTCCACCTGACAAATAGGATCGAGAGGGGGTTTGGTGGGAGGTAGTTGCAGGACCACTAAGGCTAAAACGTACAAAGTTTGAGCGGGCGTGGGAGGCCGTTGGCTAGTAATTTGTCGTGTTACACAGTGTTGCTGATTCCGTAAGGGGGGGGTTGTGAAGGCTGAGGGGTTATTGTTGACCCGGGGGCGTAATAAGGCCTGCGCTCCTTTAGCTGAGCCTGTGGCTGCAGTCGTGACACGAGAGGAGCGATGCAGGAGTAGAGAAACAGTATGTGGCCAAACAGCCGCTGTGACAGAGCACACAGCAGCAGGGCCTCGCTACTGAAATGAGACAGGAAATTTATTTTTACCAGGGGCAGAAGTGTGTCATGCTGAGTAAATAAGCAAACTAAACTCTTTCTCCTAATGCGCAAAACTTTCAGATTTGTAGCACCGTTGTGAGTCACAGTGAAACACTGCATCACGAGTGTTTATTTAAGCTCTGCGAGGCTGCAGATTCATCGATGTCATGGGAATAATATAAAGGATTGCATCAGCTCTCTGCTCTATATTTTTATCAATACCACAGTCATAAAGCAACAATCTGCACTGGAAATCACAGTGGACACTCAGTCGAGTTATAGCTGACTGATTTATTATTACAAGATTTGAATAGTAAGTTATATGTAGCTAGGCTAGGGTTAGGATTAGATAACCCTAAGCCTACCGACCAACTAATACTTGATGTGACAAGCGCATATACTCTAGCCTGAGCCTGACACAGTGCTTTGCTCACAGAATCTCATTCATTCTGGATCAAAAGTGAATGTAGGCTAGATATTGACACATATCTCTAACAACCTGTGTTGTACAGAACAGCAGAGAATCTACATTGATTTTTACTTGCATGGCTTCTATATCACAAGGCAGAAATTTTAGCAGTCTGTTTTCCAGCACTATATAAAAAGAATAATCTACACTCTTAACCACATTTAAGTCTATATCTGAAGAATATCAATGGCTCAGATAAATATGTTTACACCATCGGTTGTAGTGTGAAGTAAATCAGAATCATCTGATGTTCAGTAGACTTAAAATCTGTTAATTCAAACTATGTGAATACTGAGGTTTTGTAACATAGTTTCTTTGGTTATCTCAGAAGCAAGAAAATTCCATCCTAAGTTTGCTGCTATCTTAATGATCTTGTGCCGCTGTGTGCTGTTCAAAGATCTGTCCCTAAGCTGTCTTCTTGCTCTAAAGGAGGTCTTTTTATTTAAATCTGCAACTGCTTGAAGTGACATTTGCCTCTGGAAAACACGAACACAAGTCCTAGCATATTAAATCCAAGCCTGTATCCCAGCAGTGATGTTGCAAACCTATAAGATTTAGGTCGCTGAAAAGCACCCCATATTTCAGCGCTTGCTTCCATGGTGACTTAGCCTTAGCCTGTTTTTACAAGGATGATGCCAACAAGTGAAATCAAACTGTTCTCATCCTTAGCAAAGCACAAGAAATAAATCTGAGGAGAGGAAAAAGATAAGTTTCACCACATTTCTTGAAGCAGTTTCTCTGTGTCACAACAGTTTACTTTTTAATTTATTTTTTTGTCCTTCTCTATGCAGCGGCCTTAAGGAAGAGGTTTCAGTCTCAGGCGAAGCCTTTATAATTGACAATTGCTTATTAAACCACTGATAGTGCAGTGCCTGTGATTGCGCTCCTCTGGGTCAGAAATCTGCATGTTAACAACTCATTGTGCTTCCTTGTTACTTCCAGGGACGATGGTTCTGTATTTGTGCTTTTGCCTCAAAGGATCTTCTTTTCCAGAAATTTTCCTTTAATTTTAGTCAGAGTTGGTCAAATCGGGCTGTGACACAACTACAACATGATGTTAGTCTAACAGATTCACAGTTCTGAAAAATAGTGAATGCAGGTTTTTTTTTTTTTTAATTTCAATTTCTATTTAATATTATTAATTTTTTTTTTTAATTTGCATGATTAAAACTTCCACTTTTAGCCAAATTGACTGCATAATGTTTATTTCGTTTGATATATATTTAAATATGCAGCTCTCCTCTCTGTATACAGTGGTGTTAACCCTTTAAGACCTACCATAGAACCAAGTCCACCAGAGCTTATATTATATTTTTACATGCTGTAGTGCCATTTTTGGGAGTATTTCAAGTTGCTATACATTAATACAACCATTATAGCCCAAATTATAATAATATGTCTGCATTAAGTGCATAGTAATTACATAAATTGCAAAAAAGTGCAATAAACTACAAAAAAAATTAAAATCGTTTTTGGTTTTTTAACATATATTTCTAATTAGAAAAATTTAAGGGGCTTATCCCTCAAAACTGTAAATGCAAAAAAGTTGCACAAAATAGTTTCCCACCACAGGAAATTTATTTTGAGTGTCTTCATAGTTTTATTTTTGAAATACACCATTTTTTATATACTGCAGGAAAAACGAAAATAAATATTATACTGCAAATTTGCAAAAAAGCAGCATATGCATCAAAATAAACTATTTCCAGCAGTGCAATATGAGTTCTAAGCATCCCAGAAACGACACAGAAAGTCATAAAGTCAGACATAACTTTTAAAAACACAAGTATAGGCTTATGAGGCCCTGATGGTAAAAAAAACTACATTTCGCGCTGACGTCTATTCCAACGTAGGAAGTGTTACAAACAGCTGATCGGATCGGCAAAGCGTGTTTCTGGGATATTATGTTTTTGTTGCTGCAAGTGCTTTTTATGCAGTTTTTGAAAAGCTATATGTGGAAGGAAACTGTGACCTAGGACAAGCTGATGGCATAAGATGTAAGTACAACTCCTCCGGTTTCATATGCAAAAAAAATTATTGCGCTAGCTTATGTGGTTGCAGTTCTACAGGGATTTAAAAATAGTTGCACAAAATGGAGCGTGCCCACTCTGACCGGTTTTAAAGGGTTAAAAAAGTGTCCCTGATTTCCTATTTTTTTTATATCTCATGTAGGTTTGGAATTTTTCCCCTTAATATTAATCACCTTCATTTAGAAACTGCATTTTGTGTTTCCTTGTGTGATCTTTGGCTAATATTTAAATTGCCTTGATGATCTGAAACATTTAAGTGTGACAAACATACAAAAACACCACTGTATCTATGTGTGTGTGTGTGTTTTTGTCACGTGTGGTCCCGGGACAGTTCTGGGCAGTATCTTAACTCTTCCTATGACTACACTTTTCTCGACAGAGACCTCTGATGTTATGCCTGGAATCTGATGGCGCTACTCTTCCAGTTTTGGAGTTCCAGCTCTTCGTGCT